CCACCCCCCGGCCTCACACGCCCTCCGCCGGCTGACGCTGCTCAGGGCAATTGCTGTTGTCGCTGCAGTGTCCTAGGATTTGCGTCCCGAGGTGGCGGATTTTCGACACTAGCTGGGCAATATTCAGTCGCTGACTGGAGGAAAATTCTAGTGGTCGGTTGCTCTGATTGGTAGTGTTCCCTTGTTTCTCCGGTCAATAGCAGGCTAATGCCGGAGAAGTACCATAATAAAACGGCCCCGGATTGCCTTCGCTCAATCTTTTCCTCTCCCCTTACACGCGTTCATTTACATGCACTGTACTACCACATATGTCGGGATACAACCACATATGTCGAAAGAGCAGTTGGAGCTTACAACTTGACCCGACTGGGACGCATCCCCACTGCAGGGGACACCTGAAGAGAAGTGCCGGTATTCCTTCAAACCGACGTGAAGATGGAGCCGGAATTCTCGGTCTAGCGGAGAAAAAGACCGCCACCCACGTAATATAGCATGCTATACTTGCGGAATTAATGGCCGCAGATGTTCCAAAAACTAAAGAAAGGTTTTTGATAAAAAATAGGTAAAATATTAAATAAAATTAAAGACTGATATTTAAATAGTTAATTATGAATCTACCAAGAGCACTAGTTGTCAATGTGACACTGTTCACCGAGACCAAATGATGATAAAGATATTTTCGATAATTTGTGTAAATAAAACATAGAAAATTAATTAATTTTGACATTTATTTATTACTCCACATTTCCTCAGACCTACACGGTACTCATGACAACCTACTTCAAGGACTGGGCCAACTAACTCCTTTCATGGAAACTTGGCTTCATTACTTCTAAGAACTCTAAATGTTCTCTTAACAAATGCACACAAATAAAAAAATTCCAGAAGATAATCTAATAAAATCAGTTTCTATTAATATAAACAAACTAGGAAACACTAAACCGATGTTGCATAAAAAAAATTAAAAATACTAAATAAAAAGGGCCTATCAGCTCCTGCCTCCCCTCTCCCTCTATTTGCATCACATAGTTAAAAATAATGTCAGTTCGAATTATGACAACCATCCTTTTCATTGCTGCTTGACGGTCACGAACTCAAGTTGTGGCGAACAGGCATTGACATATACGGCTATTAACTTCGTTTCTATTTTAAAATGACACTTCATTTGAAATCCCCTCATGAAAACTGCATCTGAATTTGAAATCCTTCTCTACAATTGTCTGCGGACGTTGGCGAACGTGACAAATGCAGCGCTTCACTCAGCGAAGGTAGCGGAATAGAATTCTCCATTCTTTTTGCTATTAATCATTTCGCATGAGAGAAATATTTGACAGCCTTCGACCATTTCCTGTCAGAGGCGCCATTTCGTGTGTTGGAGATGGGGCGATTCTTCTCTTCGATTGTCTTCCTCTCTAGCTGACTGCGGTATCTGGAATCGAGTATTTTACAGAACGCGACGTCATTTAAACTATATAAATCTCGTTCAGCTGTTTCTGCCAAATGTGCAATGTGGATTTACATAATTATGTTTTATGCTTTTTTTAAAATATTTATACTTCCTGTCCAACGTGAACGTTTTATAGGTTTTTTACACACATATTTTTACAATAATATTTTGGGACGACTCCTGCAGTCAGCAAAGGTAGTTAACTTCATCCAAGTAAAATGCATTAAATATAATAAATTATTCAATTTTTAAAGATACTTTTTCCTTCTCAGTTTCAATTTATATAATCCACTTTATAAATTTTATTTGTGTATTCACTGGAATTTCACGATTGGTTGAGTATATCATTTGAATATCATAAGCATATTTGGCAGAACGGTTTTGTTTCACCTATGCCAAATAAATTGGTACAAGGTGAAAATGAGATATTATGGAAGTTTTTAGTGCGTGAATTAATCTAACTTTTCATGTTAAGCAACGCTAAATGTATGAGATTATTTTTATTTTCCAGGGTATTAGAATCTTTGTGTATTTTAAAGCTATAGAAGTCAAAAATTGATTTTTTCATGGAATGATATTCGTAAAAAATTACCAAATAGTCCATTTAAATTGAGCTAGCGAAATACTTCTAGAAATTCGCACCGTAAAAAGGATTTAAAATTCGAGTCTTAGAAGGAGGAACTTGAAATATGCCAGCTATAATGCGTGAGCATGAAGGAAATTTTAAATGAGAATACACACTTATTGTTGCTTATTATGTTTTTTGACAAAAACATTAATTTTTCCAACACATTTTTTCAGTAGAGAGATGACACTTTAACAAATAAAACAAGTCTCTTTTCAGTAAACATTTAAATCAGGAGAGTCCGATATGTTATTCCTTTAATGCCAATAAGATGAAAATAGATATACTATTTAAAAAATGTAATTTGCCTACCTGACTCGGTACATTTTTCAGTTAGATCCCAAATTAAAAATATTAGAGACACCTGCTCTATCTTAATGTGACTCACTTATTTTCAAATCACAGCTAAAATGTTCACTAATATATTGCCGTGTAAGAATGTATCGAAATTTTTAATTCTCAAATAACATCAACTTATTAAATGAATACCTGATTAAAATAATAGTAATATACACTAAAAGCCGATACTGATAGCCAAGATCGCTAAGTCAATAATGACGTGGCGATCTCGTATGGAAGGATTGCAGGTTCGAGCCCAGCATCGGGCATGGTTGTGTGTGTTTGCGTCTGTATGTTTGTGATTGTCGCTTCACCCTTGATAATCATAATTTCAAACTTCATCGCCCCAGGGCTAGTAACACTGGGGTGTAAAAATGGATTCCCGGTAAAAGTGCTGATCCCCCCAAAAAAGTGCACTGTCCCTGGGAGAATATGATTGGTGGGTACAAGTGGCGTGTTCACGTGATCATAGGATGACCAATTCTCAACCACAAAAATACTATGAATATTAATAAATATTATAATTAATAATAAAATAAATATTAATATTTTATATTATTATATATATGTATATATATATATATATTTGATCACGCGTATATTTTATATTACATATATATATATATATATATATATATATATATATATATAAATATATATTTTTCACAGCTAATAAAGTAGAAAAACCATTATTTTTAAATGAATTTTAAACTGACAACGAGTTTTTAAAAGTCAAAAGACATCTGTTGATTCGCAGATGCTTCCAAGCATTGTTTTCGTCACTCGCATTTCTCCACCTGCAGAAAAATAAACAAACATTCTACAGATCTCTTCTTCTTGCTTCTTTAAACATAAATGAAAGAAATATTTTCATTAGGAAGCTTTAAATGCTGCTGCTTCAGAAACTGCTGCAGGCCTTTTTATTCTTCCCAAACAAAAAGCATTGTTTCGCGAAGCACTCGATTCGAGACAGTTCCGTTGCCAGAGCATTTGGCTGTAGACCAAGGCAAATCCCTAGAACTGTGCCATCGGTGCAAATGCACCGGATCAATCTCCATTATATCTCCCACGACTGTTTTCATTGTGACAGTCAACAAACCTCTTTCACTTGAAATGGATGAACTGGTACACTAACACAATTATCTTGTATTGAAGAAGCTACGGAAACCGGAGTTCGCTTCCCAGTTGAAAGATGAGAATAATACACGAAGTTAAGGCGCCTCTTCTTTAATATGGAGTCAACAATAAACTCAAAAATTGATTCAAAAGAACGCGACTCGAAAATATGTGTTTAATTTGTTCCCTTTGCTAGGACTATCTTCCGTACTCGCGGCAATTCAGCTACGAGATCTTCAAAAAGTTACTCAATAAGAAGGGTATCAATATTTGATAACATTTTCCCAAAAATTTAGTAAAGAAAGATACTAAATACAGCAATATAATGTTATTTTTGTCTACGCCAAACCTAAGTTACAAAGAAAATATAAAATGCTTTAAGCCACACGTACATACGAATGAAATTAACGTGGAAATTACACTAAGCATTAGTGACTTGCAGAAGCAAAAATGATACTGAACAAAACCACACAAAATGCTTTTCCAAAATGTAGCACGTACACTGCTAGAGAACAACAAATAAAATACTCTTGTAGAAAACTGCAATAAATTAAATATTTTGAGTTATTTCCACCAAAATCTAAATTGTTTCATTTTATTTAGGTTTTCCCGAGTTCCTGAACATATAACAAAGCCCACCTTTCACGTGGCCGAAGGTGGCATATCTTTCCTCCAATTGCCCTGCACATTTAAAATCAGTAATATCTAATATAATATAATATATAAAAATCAATGTTTATTTGTTCGTGTTTAAATGCTACCGTACCGTTCATCCGAATGCGATAAAACTTAGTCACCTTATTGCTTTAATTTGCACAAAGAATATAGGCGTAGTACAATGGGAATGTACGTATGTCTGCCTCAAACGCCCATGAACAGAAGATCTTTGCAAACCCGCCGTACACTCAACTATCAAGCGCATTTCCCTGCATATGCTGCCCCCAGAGATTGTGAAATATCGGCCGGAATTATTACTTGAACGTTATCTCGGACAAGTAAATCAAAATTCTTCAAGACAGTGTCACATCGAGTGCATGCCTAAACTTAAGGCAGAACGTTTTAACAGTAGGATACTTAATACCG